CTAGGAAAGATAAACAATTATCTTCCTCTTCTACAGATGTAAGTGTTACGTTATTCTGAACTTCATTCATTCGATTTAAAATTGAGGTGGCAGAACAAGACTTATCACTGATGATTACAATATCATCTACATACCTTCTATAAAGTGACACATTTTGGATCAAATCCTCCGATAAATTCTCAATGTACCACATATAAATATCTGCTAAAAGGAGGCCTTAACGGACTTCCCATAGCAACACCATCAACTTGGCGGAAACAATCGCCTTCCAATGTAAACCTAACATTGTTAGTACATAGAAGTAATAAATCCCTTAAATAAGATATAGGAAACGGGATGAAAAAATTGTTTGTGGAAATGTAATCACACAAAATGTCAACTGTTTTGAGAAAAGGAACATTAGTGAATAACGAGTTTACATCAAAAGAGTACATATTCTTATTCATAATATTAATATCGTCAAGAAAATTAACCAATTCAAATGTATCTTTTAACACATACAGAATTGTGTTTTGACTGAATGCAATAATTCTACTAACCATTTAGCAATTTATGCGTTGGGGATTTGCATATTGACAATATAGGAAGTAGAGGATTATTGGGTTTATGTATTTTTGGCAAACCATACATATGCGGGAATTAACATTCTGATGGTTTTAAGGAGTCAAATTTACCTTAACTTATAGCATTTATGCCATGAAGCTTAACTAGATTAGCTGTCACTGTGCCCTGCATCAACTGAATATCCTCTGAGGAGGGATCACGGCTAAATTTGCTTTTATCATCAAGACTAGACATCATTTTAGATTTGTAGTCACTTTTATTCATAATGATGACTCCAGAACCTTTATCAGGTTTCGTAATAATTATATTACAATCTTCCCGTAGCTCTTTCAAGGCTTTGAAATGCTGGGAATTTAAAATACTTTTCTCCTTTGAGTTGTTGTTTAAAAACTGGTGAGCTATATTCACCATCTTAGCCTTAAACCAACCACGATTTTCATCGGATGTTGCGGTAAGAGGTTTGAGTTGGTCATATAAGTTTTCAAACTCAGCATGGATGGCTAAATCCGTAAGTTGGGCACGAGGAACACAAAATGTGAGTCCAAGGGATAAAGCTTCTTTCTGATTGGTGTATTAATTCCGGTGTTGTCGTTTATCATCATAAAAAGTTTATCAACATAAAGAGTTCCCATCAAAGTCATCCCACATTCTACTTTTCTCTATTCTTCTTTGCGTTTTGTGAGGTTTCGTAGTGAAAAATACGCATAATTTGTACAACAGTAGAAGTGATCAACGTTCACATACAGTGGTAGTTTAATTATTTCAATTTTACTACTCATATAACAATTCTCAATGTATAGAAAAACGCAGACATCACCTTTCCTTGCAAAACTATTAAATGCCATTTGTCTCAGTGAAAACTAGAGCCTTGACAACGTCTTTCAGTCATCGAATAAGATATTGTGACCACCCTGTCTCTTGTCTCAATCAAGCTTCTCGAGTCTGATATAGTTTAACAATTCGATTTGTATTCTTTGAATAAAATTTATCAGTAAATAGAGTTATTAAGAACAGCTTATTTCCGTTCTGTGTTGCTAAGTAGGCTTAAAATGCTGTAGCTTCATTTACCACTTTGGAAGGTGGTCAATTAACAACCGCAGAGATGACGACATTTGATGGGCTCATGATCGTTCTTACTCGGAAAAGAATGATTACATGCCCAAGAATATTCTGATTGTGATCCCACCAAATACCCCAGTAAGTCAAAACACGTAATAAATTACAAAGGGTTCGAAATTCTTAAGACTTGATTCAAGTGTGAATAACCATTCCATATGAATACAAGCTTTTTGAAAGCCTAGAGAGTATGGCTTCGCACGATACTGTCGATGCCGTTTGTCTGATACTCCAACTCGTCTGTTCCCAAATGTTTCTTTCCATAGCATACTGAAACATCTGGAGGATTTAGCTGAGGTTACACGAATTTGTCACTTGTATTAAAATATTGCTGATCTTGAAATCGTTGTCCGCCTTTTTCTTACAACAAACTTCACGAGAATACCCAATAAAGCTCAGGTTTACAATCCGATAAATTTTCAATAAGTCCTGGTATTCACGTTCAAAGTATTTCGTAAGTAAATTTTTCCTGGATGCATCATAGTGAGATAATTTATCCTGATATTTGACGCATACCCATGACTGCATTTTATGTTAAAACCAGTAGGCTTAACACTGCCGGTATTAATTTCAAATTATCATCAGTCGCTTGCATCCGTGAAATCATCGGTGTCAGTTTTACTTTCTAAAAGTTCTTCCACTTGTTCATTTTTCAGTTATTTATCTACTCACTCTCTGAACATAACTTGATATGATGTGATATTTGTGAAAGATTTTGGATGCAAAGAGAGAGCTTACCTAACATATGGAACAAATGGGGAAATATGATCCCTTGAAATCGCGACCAAATAACTCCGACTAAATTAGTAATGAAACATAATCTAGAACGGTAGAAGTTATTCGATGAATTGAGGTCTGCTTTGATGGTGTGGACAAATAAACGAATGTGACAATATTGTGAATGTAAAAATATGAAAAATTATCAAATTATTTACATGAACATAAGTTACTCTTTTGCAGACAGTAGTATCATTATATGATATAATAAAAAGTGCTGCTGCATGTGAAAAATTAATGATCGGATCTCCTATTGCTATGAAGTCACCATACAGACCAAGTTTCTTAAGTAATCGATGAGTTTCAGGATTTCCATATAACTATACTTTCTGAAAATTTCATGTTTGCTTGATTACCAAATGCAACTCCGGCGAGATACAGCGTCAAATAGAGAAATGTATTCTACGTATCAACCATACACCTAACAAGTAGGCAAGAAGTTTGGTAACAATGATAGACATGACTGGATGACTTACAACAAAGTGGAGTACATGTAGAAACACCTGTTCTGTTTGAACTCACCTTGTTGATAGTGAAAGTCAGGTTAATGTTGGCAGGGCATTAGAGATTATAGCATTCCAAA